ATGTACTGACGTTTGCATCAGTAGCATGTTAATGAAAAAGGCCTTTCTCAGAGTCCATGCCACTTGCTGCAGAACAGATGGGGCCTCAGTCACGGCCCAGAAGTCAGCTGATATCTGCATGATCCGATCCACAATCCTTCTTCGGTCCAAAGAGAGCGTGTGATGATCATGTTCAATGTTTCGAAACTGGAGCTGAGCTTGAACACGCTGAATCCACCTCCGCAAGAGAGTCCATCCGCACATTTGAGGAATTGAGTCCCCACTGGTGTGCGAAAGTTGGAGTCTATGAGCCGGCACATGTAAAATGTGGCACGCGAAAAGCGCAAGACGCTCAGTCATGGTTGGTGGGCACTGCACGGTGTGGACTTGAATACCTTCGTCACTTCGAGAGATCTCAACGGCCACCCAATCAGTCCCATAAAGAATGGGGATCATCGTGTCACACTCGTTAGAAATCTGATCGAACCCACTCTCGAAATGGAACTCGTCTGTTTGCGGAGTGTAAAATGCCACAGGCGTGAACCTAGTGTCTCGTGTCACAGGGGCAATGCGTCCTAGCACAAAAGTCATCGCATCGCTGGCCAACCAGCCCTCTGAGTCTTTGGCGAAATCAATGCGCTCTCCAGTAGTGGCACGTGGTTTCAAAACCGTGGATCGAGGCGTGCGCCACGAAATTGCCCCACCTGCCTAAATTGGCAAGAAATGCACTCCTTGCACGAACTGATCGGTCTGTGCGGCCGTGTACACGAGACTTAGCGAGTCACTGTAGCTTAATGGTGCCATATTGGTCATCTCGTTCATTAGTCCAAGGTCATCTGCTCGCAAATGGGTGTGGGAACTGAATTTATCGGGTACGAAAGCATTCCTAATTAGTGAAACAATGTCGACAAATTCACGAAACACCCCCAATGTTAGAGGTACCACCGGCCTCCTGCTTGGAATCCTACCAAGAATGACATGTTGTGCACTGATGGACGGTCGTTCTTGAGCAATGTGGAACGAATCATGGCATAAGGGGCACACATCGTGGGGATGTGTCTGGAGATCACTCTGCCCCCTGGAAAGAATCTCGAGTTGACACTTCGGAGAACATGCAGTCGAAGATGAATCGGACATAGCTGGAGTCCATGCCACAGTGTCTTCAGCAACACGACGCATCAACAAACGGCCATAATTCATCTTTATAAAGCCAACTCCCGCAGTCAGAGCAGTGGCCAAAAAGTGCTTGAGGAAGAGAATAACCATCCACTCATCCCATGAGATCCATGAGGAGGCATATCATCTGGAGATGCACCGCTACCCACCTGCTGAGATCCTGCAATATTCCACATAGATATAAAAATCAATGTAGATAACCAGCTTCGAATCGCTCGGAAAACCCACAGCGTTCCTTCTACGAACGTCGCCGCCAAAGCAGAAATCATGGCCTCAAGATGGTAATGATTCCAACCCTCATCATCTCCATCAAGAGTATCATGACCTGCATGAGGAGAGTTGCTGATCACGTGTCACGCGCCAGTACTCCCATCGTCGCTCTTGCACCTCTTCAATACTCCTAGGATCTTCAACCACCAAGGTGAAAATCTCACATCCTGCCTTCACTGACTTCGCCACACCCATTTTTGCATTCCATGTGAGCCATGGGTATAGGGACTTGGGAACTTTGAGGAAAATATCACGGGAACTCGAGTCCTCTCGGAAACGGATGATCATGAAGTCATGTGAACAATACCAGCGTTCCAGGCATACCCCATGGTAAAGACCACGTCCATGCCAGAAGCGAGGATTCGCAGGGTGAGCAGCCAAAGGTCGGATGTCATCAGGGCACACACATGTGTACGGCATGGCCACAATCCGCACCCTAACCTAAGACTCACAGGCTAGGGTGGCAAGCATGCCACGAGGAGGCTTGGGCCACAATGCTTATGCTCGCACACGCCCAAAGCCTCCCAACAAAACGCCACTGGTGTGCGTGAACAAACAACCGACTTTTGGTTCAAAAACATACATCCCCACACCTCAAGAAACAGTTTTCTACTGAGAATGTTCATTGTTTTTCCCGAATGCGTAGCGAAGGGTTCCCGTTTATAGTTGGTGGTCTGGGGGTTGGAGCTGTGTTCGCATGGCTTGCGTCGTGTCGTCGTCTCTCGTCGTCTGTCGTCGTCTCTCGTCGTCTGTCGTCGTCTCTCGTCGTCTCTCGTCGTCGTCGCGTCTCAAATTTGCTGCCATTGGGGGAAGCTTTTGCAAGTGACTTTGCATGGACGTGTCACGTGTCAGTTGGCGCCGCTAATCCATTGTGATTTGCAGGAGCAGGACATGTCGCGCGAGAAACGTGATGCGTTTCGCTGCACAGGTGCAGCGTTTTGTGAGATCGGCAGATTACTCCGCAGTTCCATTGGGATTAGCGTTTGGAGAGTCGTGTTTTTGGGGTGTTGGATGTGGCCGTGCCATTGGGATTTGCGTTTCAGGGTGTGGCATCGAAGCTCGGTTTTCGTGACAAGTCTCAGCTGAAATGGCGATTTTGGTGGATGGGAGTGGGCTCAGAACGGGTCGAAATCATTGCAAACGTGTGGTGTGGTGCAAATTTTGTCGAAGCTCACATGAGATGATATTGTCACTTTTCGTGGCAGGCGCAGGACTTTGTGCGGGTTTTGAGGCGTGGAAGCGCGATTCTCGTGGCAGGCGCAGGGAATCGTGAGGTTGCGAGATGTGACGGAGGTGACATTTCGTGGCAGGCGCAGTACTTTGTGCGCGTTAGACGTGTGGACCCGGAAAGATTCGTGGCAGGCGCAGGGAATCGTGAGTTTGTGAGTTGTGGTAGAGGTGAATGTCGCTGTCACATTGGGATTGGCGTGTGAGCGGATGTTGTTTGGAGGGGCGGGAATCGCGAAACTGCTTGGCAGGGCTGCGTGATGTGTGTGCTCCGATGGGTGTTTCCGCTTGACTTTTGGAGGAAGTCTCGTACGAAACGCTCGTTTTGCAGACTTTGACATGTGAGTTTTTGAGGAAGTCTCGTACGAAACGCTCGTTTTGGAGACTTGACGCGCAACCCTCTGCGGAGATCGCGCGCGTCGAGTGCGCGAAATGCAGGCGAGAGTGCGATTTGTCCCATGCGCACGCAACCCTCTGCGGAGATCGTGTGTGTCGAGTGCGCGAAATGCAGGCGAGAGTGCGATTTGCCCCACGCGCGCGCAACCCTCTGCGGAGATCGTGCGTGTCGAGTGCGCGAAACGCAGGCGAGAGTGCGATTTGTCCCGTGCCCGCGCAACCCTCTGCGGAGATCGCGCGTGTCGAGCGCGCGAAATGCAGTGGAGCACTGGCGACTTTGTAGTACAACTTTAGTACGCGGGGTATCTGGGGAGCTGGAAGATGAGAACTGGTGACTCGATAGTACAACTTTAGTACGCGGAGCAATCTGTGGAGCTGGAAGCTGAGAACTGGCGACTTTGTAGTACAACTTTAGTACGCGGAGCAATCTGTGGAGCTGGAAGCTGAGAACTGGCGACTTTGTAGTACAACTTTAGTACGCGGAGCAATCTGTGGAGCTGGAAGCTGAGAACTGGTGACCCACAAGAGTGTCCTACAAGAGTGTCCCAGAAGAGTGTCCCACAAGAGTGTCCTACAAGAGTGTCCCACAAGAGTGCGCTACAAGAGTGTCCCACAAGAGTGTCCTACAAGAGTGTCCCACAAGAGTTTCCTACAAGAGTGACCCACAAGAGTGTCCTACAAGAGTGTCCCACAAGAGTGTCCTACTAGAGTGTCCCACAAGAGTGTCCCACAAGAGTGTCCCACAAGAGCGTCCCACGAGGGTGTCCCACAGAGTGTCCCACAAGAGTGTCCTACAAGAGTGTCCCACAAGAGTTTCCTACAAGAGTGACCCACAAGAGTGTCCCAGAAGAGTGTCCCACAAGAGTGTCCCACCAGAGTGTCCTATAAGAGTGTCCCACAAGAGTGTCCCACAAGTTTCCTACAAGAGTGTCCTACAAGAGTGTCCCACAAGAGTGTCGTGTAAGAGTGTCCCACAAGAGTGTCCTACAAGAGTGTCCCACAAGAGTTTCCTACAAGAGTGACCCACAAGAGTGTCCTACAAGAGTGTCCTACAAGAGTGTCCCAGAAGAGAGTCCCACAAGAGTGTCCTACAAGAGTGTCCCAC